AAGGTTCCCTCCCCGGGTACACTTTGAATTACTTTGACATGGATTGGGCACTGATGATGAATCTAAATCCACAGAATGCAATACTCCATTAAAACCAACTGCACATCCCCTTTTTATATCACTCTTATCAACACTCCTCCACCTCCCAGCAATGTTCTGCTTGTCACTACACGTGACTGAGCTCTAGCCCCAGCGCCCCCAATCCTAACTTAGGCTGTGGTACAGTGGGAATACCAGTTGGCTGCCATTGCTATCTCCCAACATTTCTCTCACTTTCCTCCAGATCTCCTCTCTGCCAACACTGAAACATCACTCCCTGGTTCTACAGTTATGACTTTAATTCCTACCCCTGACTCCTATCTTCTGGTGCACATTGGGGAAGCAGATCTAAAATGCATTCAAGTCCTAAAGGAGGGAAGAGAAAGGGGAGAGGGCAAGCACCAGACAGTCCTACAATTGCACCGACCACTGGCAGTGGGTCATATTGCTTTCACACGTGAGAGCACTACAACACTAAATCCCATCCTGACAGTTACAAGTGCCGCAGACCAGAGAAGGCATCCAAATGTCCCAGCAGATGCCCTGTGCTACAGAAACAAACTATGCCCACTAAGCCCTGCTCAGATGGCAGCCTCATGAACAGAAGGGGTGACTGCTGTTGTCTTAAGCCACTAAGTTTTCATGAGGTTTGTTAATGCAGCAAAAGATAACAAGCTCTGTGGGATGAACTATGAACTTGGTACTCTAGCTAATATGGAATGAGGTATTTCGAACAGGATTGTGGGGGTGTTTTATGTTTTATAAGTGAGGAAAAGGAACTGGAGTGGGCCAACGCTGGAGACAGAAGAGGGGTAGGAAGCTTCCAAAGGCACTTTCAGAATTGGAGGCTGGGGGAGCCTTGTTATACGGCTCCTTAACATCAGTCCCATGCGCAGATGATTAGTTTGAGGGAATTAGCATACTTTCATCCCCCTGGCCAGAAATGGATGCAGGAGTATTATGGACTGAATTGTGTCCCCACAAAATTCATGTCTTGATGCCGTAACCCTAGCACTTCAGAATGTGACTATATTTGGAGATAGGGCCTTTAAAGAGGTAAGTTAAAAAGAGGCTGCCAGAGCGAGGTTGGATCCACCTGACTGGGGTTGTCAGAGGAAATATGGACACGGAGGAAAACACCAGCATGCATAAACACAGAGAAGACCTTGTGAGGTCACAAAAAGGAGGGAGCCCCCTGTAGGCCAAGGAGAGAGACCTCCAAAGAAACCAGACCTGCCATCATGTTGATCTTGGACTTCCAGTCTCCAGAACTTTGGGAAAATGAATTTCTGTTGTTTCAGCCGCCCAGTCTATGGGATTTTGTTGCGGTAGCCCTAGCTAACTAATAGAGTGAGTGACCCACCTCTAGCCAGTGGGACACAGGGAAAGTGTGCTGGGGTCTCTGAGCAAAGCTTGTTTTCCCTGAAACAGGGGCCACAGGAAGAGATGGTCTCTCTTCTCCCTTGTCTGGTGGGTGGTGCCTGGACCTTCAGTAACCATCTTGTCCTCACACACAGGGTGAAGCCAAGGTAGAGAGGCTGAAAGAGCCCAGGTCCTGGAAGACACCAAGAAGCTGCTGAGTCACCAAGCCAGGAGCCTGTCCTCTCTCTAGAGTTCTGATTCCATGAGGGGACAGATATCTGCCACTGGGTTGGGTTTTTTATTAGTCACAGCTGAAAGCATCCAAACTGATCTAGAGCTGAACTAAACAAATGTCAAGGGTAGTGGGATTTGGAGGAGGTGGTGTGGGAACAGATTCAAGAAGAAATGGGAGATGAGGCCAACAGGAGAGTCACCAGTTGTGGGATGATGGCGGTTAAGGTTTAAGGTGGTTAAAAAGGGGGAATGTCTCTGAAATAGATCTATTATATTTTCCTATTAGATACTGTCAATTGTAGGTTCCTCCATGATTACTGTACCAGTAACAATGAGATGCAAATGACATTAAAGATGTCAAAATATGGGCTTAGCACCCATAGCTCAGTGGTTAGGGTGCTGGCCACATGCACTAGGACTGGTGGGTTCGAACCCAGCCCCAGTCTGCTAAGCAGCAATGACAACAACAACAACAAATAACTGGGCATTGTGGCAGGCACCTGTAATCCCAGCTACTTGGGAGGCTGAGGCAAGAGAATCACTTAAGCCCAAGAGTTTAAGGTTGCTGTGAGCTGTGTTGTCACAGCACTCTACCAAGGGTGACATAGAAAGACTCTGTCTCAAAAAAAAAGAAGTCAAAATATGAAAAAAAAAAATGGTGTCTTAGAATTAATTTTAAAAAGCTCTAAAAGAAATATACATTTTCTTTGGAACTTTTCTTCTTGGGTACTACTTTATTTTCTTCTCTCAATCTATGTAAATATTTTGTGTAAATCAGTACTTTGAACCTAAAAAAATGGAAAATGTGACCTTAACCATAAAGGCATTCACAATCTTTTCCTAAGAATTGCAATATTAAGCTACTAAAGCAAACAGATGGCCTTCAGAATGGAAGAAGCCATTTGCATGCTATGAATCTGACCAAGGGCTGATAACTAGAATCTGCAGAGAACTCAAAATCATCAACCAGAAAAGAGTGAACAACCCCATTTATAAGTGGGTAAGAGACATGAACAGAACCTTCCCTGACAGAGACAGACAAATGGCTAACAAACACATGAAAAAATCCTCATCATCCATAATCATCAGAGAAATGCAAATCAAAACCACTCTGAGATATCACCTAACTCCAGTGAGATTAGTCCACACCACAAAGTCTCAAAGCTATAGATGCTGGCATGAATGTGGAGAGAAGTGAACACTTTTACACTGCTGGTGGAGTTGCAAACTAATGCAACATCTATGAAAAGAAGTATGGAGAACCCTCAAAGAGCTAAAAGTCGACCTTCTATTTCATCCCCCAATCCCATTACTAGGTATCTACCCAGAAGGAAAAAAAATCATTTTATCTCAAAGATTTTTGCACTAGAATGTTTATTACAGATCAATTCACAATTGCCAAGATATGGAATTAATCCAAGTGCCCATCACTGCCTGAATGGATTAATGAACTGTGGTATCTGTGTAACATGGAATAGTATTCAGCCATAAAAAGATGGAGACTTTACATCTTTTGTATTTACATGGATGGAGTTGAAGCACATTAGTAAAGTAGCACAAGAATGGAAAAGCAAGCATCCAATGTACTCAATACTAATACAAAACCAATAGATAAACAATACACACCCAACAAGAGAAAAACACAGTTGAATTCAAATGGGGGGAGGAGTGCAAAGGAAGGAGGGACGGTGACTGGTAAGCTTTCACCTAAGGTGCACAGCATAACAGTACACAGCACAACCCCCAGGTGAAGGGCTCACTAGAACTTGAATTTTGCCTAAGAAATGCTAACAATGTAACCCAGTCATTTATACCTGCATATTAATCTGATATGTGGTAGTATATGATATTACTAAGGAGGAATTGATCAATTCTATTACACCAGAAGGGGAGGATCTGAGAATTGAAGAATGACAGGGTCAGTAATATACAAGAGGTTTGATACATCAGAGGGCATTTGTACTGATCAAGTCTTAAATGCAGTCTGTGGTAAATTTTCACTAGTTTATGGCAAAATGAGAAAACTGATGGTAAGGCAGTTGAGTCTTTCTGTGAAGCCGAATATATGAAAAGTGAAATGATCACTTTTCTATTTTGTTAACATTTTCTTTTTCTTTTTCTATGAAATAATGAGTGTAGTAGCTGTTTGTTTATTTATTTATTTACTTATTTATTGAGACACTGTCACATTGTTGCCCTAGGTAGAGTGGCTCACAGCAACCTCAAACTTTGGGCTCTAGCAATCCTCTTGCCTCAGCCTCCTGAGTACCTGCGACTACAGGCACCTGACACAATGCCCTGCTAGCTATAAAGACAGGGTCTCACTCTTGTTCAGACTGGTCTCAAACTCTTGAGCTCAGGCAATCCACCTGCCTCTGCCTTTCAGAGTGCTAGTTACAGGTGTGAGCCACTGTGCCTGGCTTATTATTTATATTTTTTTAAGAGACAAGGTCTCACTGTGTCACCCAGACTGGAGTGCAGTGTCATCATCATATCCCACTGCAACCTCAAACTCCTGGGCTCAAGTAATCCTTCTGTGTGAGCTTCCTGAGTAGTTGGGGCTACAGATGAGTACCCCCATGCCTAGCTAATTTTTTTTCTCATAATATAGAGACTGAGTCTCTCTCTTGCATAGGCTGGTTGTGAACACCTGGCCTCAAGCAATCCTCTAATCTCAGACTCCCAGAGTAGAAGGATTATAGACAGGAGCCACTGCACTGGACCCACATATCTAATTTTTAAAAAATGTTATTATTTTGCAAGAAAGAAAGACACAAACAAAAACTCCTAACCAGTTCTTGTTAATCCCCTCATTTATTTTATTTTTGGAAAAACACACAGGTCCATGAAATGTCTAAATCTGTGAACAACATTAGTAAGCTAATAGATGATTTTTAGGATTTGTCCCTTAAAGCTTGCAAATTCTGTGAGTCATCACTGTATGGAGAAGCTGCCCTGAAATAACCAGAGGCATCATCTACACTGGGCATCATTCCAGGGAAAGGGGAGGCTGTACATCTGGGGCAGACACACTGGACTCTCTCCATAAAGGGCCCAGTGCCTCACTCATATCACTGGCCTCTATAGAGGAAGTTCCACTGAGCTGGCAGCTCTCAGCTCCTGGCTGCTGGGAGGAAGGAGGCGGCTCTCTGTGCAGGTGGGACAGGCAGCTGAGACTCAGACTTGTTCTATGAGTAGGGGAGAATCCTGATTCCAGCTCAGGTCTGCTTTGGTCCCAGAGAAGGGTATGATTTAAACAAAAGGCAAAGGGGCTTTGGAGTCCTTGTGGGATTGGACAGAGTGAGAACAGAGATGTAGAAAGATGCTCAAGTCAGTGGCCTTCATCTTGCTTTTTGTAGATTACAATGACTCCACTGGGCTTCCTGCTATTTCTCACTGTGGCCACCAGAGCATGGAGTGAAGGTGAGTCAGCACTTGGGGGATCAGCACCTGGCGGCTGCAGGTCCCCCAGCTCAACTCTGGTATGAGTGAGTCCCAGGGTGCTGGTTTATCCTGGGCCACAGTGGGTGTCTCTGAGATGCACAGAGGGTGACTGGGACGCAGGCTCAGTGCTGATGTCCAGTCTGTGTGGCATCTGGCCTACAGCAGTGAGGGTGTTGTCTGAGGCTTGTGCTGGGTCCAGTCTGTGCCTCTGTGTGGCCCTGAGGGGGCTCTGGTGAGAACTGTGCTCCTTCCAAGCCACTCCCCATGTCTGTGGCCTTGGCCATGGTACTTCCAGGGGAAGTGCACAGCCTTTCTTCCTCTATAACAGAAATAGCAGTGGCATTTTAAGATTTGTATCCCTCTTCATTGTTATTTATTGACTTTTTAAAGTAAAGGCTATTTCTAAATATCTTCTAACATGATCGTCACAGAAAAACTTTATTAGCTATGTTCCTGGTCTGAGGAGTTCTGTTAAGTATGATTCCAAGGACATTCAACTAGTAAACACTGAGCTACTTACAAATACCTCTGACCTCAAAGCTTAAGATTGTTGTCGTTCCTCCAGACAAGTAATTTTCAACCTTTTTACCTCACAGCACACTTGAACCTATAGTTAAACATCCACGGCACACTTGAATTATGTTGATCAAAAAAAGGAGGAAAAAGTAGAATATACTTACTGTGCTTTGAATGTCTTTCAAAAATAATTTAATTAAAGATCTCTGAAAATGTTCATGGCACACCTGTGCTCCTCCCATGGCAGACCAATTGAAAATC